GAAGGTACCCTCGCAGAGGTCAAAGACATCATCGGATAATGAGAAGGCCGAGCGCACTACCAGCGCAAAAGGAGCTCACAGCAATGACCGAGACGTAGAGCAAGGACAATAGACTTGTTTACACATTTGTAAGAATTCCACATCGCACACTGAAGTCATCCAAAGTAGCAATTATTTTTGTTTTGCGCCAACTCGTGTCAGAGGAGAGAGCATCGACTTGCGTCGAAATCGCGAATCGCTCAAAAAATTTGTAGTCATGAGGCATTTGACATTGTTCGCAAATCACAAGTTGGCCATGGACAGGCCAGCGCGGCCGCCCATGAGCTCTGCGAGGTTCTTGAGCTCGTGCCACCAAGCCGTCTTTCCTCTTCTGTTCTTCATATCCGCCTGCTTGGCCATCTCTTCAGAGCTAGTGAACTCCACCTGGCTTCCTCGAATGGTGATGATCACCGCCGTGTCCTGGTTCCACGCTGATGAGCTCTTCCGCAGAGCTAGCGCGTTCATGGTCAGGAACTCGCAGCAGCGGACGGCCAGACGAGTGGCGCGTGCTCGATCTAGCGGCGAGGGGACACCGCCTTGCAGAGTGTGTCCCAGCGAGGCCGAACGAGCATCGAACAATTCTTTGCCTTCCTCTTTGAGAATCTTGGTGATGACTTCTGTTGTGTACACGTCCGAAGAGCGTTCATTTCTGTGTTCGCCGGGTGCAAAAGGTTCAATGGCGCTGACGAACTGATGAGGGACGAGCAATACGGCTCACCTGATCACGAGCCTTCCCTCGCTCTTGCCCCTCACGTCCAACTCGAACCGTTTCTTGAGCCAGGCAACGTCAGCACCCAGCTGTTGAAGGCCGATGCCCACTTCGGGCGTGTAGACGAGCACAGCACCGGCAGCCAGGGCGCCCATGACGGCAATGTAGCCGCACCTGCCACCTTGAGTCTCCACCACAAAGGTCCTGTTGCGAGAAGCAGAAGCAGACTGCTTGATCGTGTCGCACGCATCTACAAGGGCATTGAGGGAAGTGTCGGAGCCCAAAGAAAATTCGGAAATCGGAACGTTGTTGGAGATTGTCGCAGGAATGGCAGCGATGGGCATCTGTGCGCATGCATCAAGGCGCAAGCATAGTCAGTCAAAGCGACGCACGTCGTCTCTGTCGTCAAGACGACTCACCCTGAAGATGGGATAGTTGCCGCGCTGATCATTGAGCTGCTTGACGGCCTGGAAAGCCTCAAAGCCTCCAATGACCAGCAAACCCTCGATCTTGTGTTCCTGCAGCTTTGCCGCCACCGCTCCAAAGTCTATGTCGGGCAGAACCCTGTTGGTGCCTAACTCGCTGCCTCCCCTTACAGCCCAATTATCCACCCGAAGCCAGTTCAAAGGGTTGATGTGGTCCTCCAGCAGACCTGGGAATCCATTGTGCACGACAAAAGGTTCGTGCCCATGAGCCAAGCAGTATCGCACTGCAGTGCGCGTCGCAGCGTTCATCCCTCCCGCAGGCGCACCGAGACTAGGAGAAAGCGAGGAGAGGCAGAGAGTCTTCAGCAAGCTTTCGAGGTGACCGCGACTTTGCGTTGCAACGACTCACTGGATGATCGCCATGCGTATCCTGCTCTGTTGAGGTACCAAGAAGCTCTCGTCTATCTTGGAGATGAGATCAAAGGCGTGCAGCCCTTCCTCAAACTCGGGGTCTCTGAGAGCCATTGCGCCATCAAAGTCCTTTTCTCCGATACACTTTGCCACACGTTGAGTCATCTCGACGGCGTGCATAAGCGGGATCCGCTCGATCTTGTTCTCGCGTATACCGATGACGTAGCTAGGAGTGTCGGGTTTGGCCTGCAGCAAAGCGTCGACGGCTTCGACGCCTTGCAGAGTGGCCAGCACACGATCTTGAGCAACAGGCTTGCCTCCTCGCTGCGTATGTCCAAGCGTGGTGACCCTAGTGTCCAGACCCAAGCGATCGGAGAGGATAGACTTGATGTCGTCGGGTCTGATGGCATTCAGCTCTCGATCAATAGCGCCCTCTGCGACGACGACGATGGTCTTGCGTTTGCCCACTTCTCTATGTCGAGCCAACACTTCGCACATGTTGTCCCGCCAATCCCCGATGGGCGGACGTTCCGGAACTAAAATGTAGTCGGCTCCCGAGGCGATTCCGGCCATGAGAGCTAGCCAGCCACAGTGTCGGCCCATCACCTCCACTACAAATGCTCGAGAGTGCGAAGCGGCCGTACTGCTGATACTGTCGATCGCTTCGCAGATGCGGGCCAAGGCGGTCGATGCACCGATGGTGAGATCGGTCGTCGCCATGTCATTGTCGATGGAGCCGACCAGTCCAACAATTTTGAGATGCGCATACCTTTGAGCCTGCGCTTCGCTGATCTCGCCTGGTCAAGTGGCAAAGCCGGGTGATGAGCAGTCTGCAAGGATCATGCTACGGTCGTGATGAGCTCACCTCTGCTTTTGAGGCTCTCTACCAATTCAGGCCACTCCGCCCGTAAGCGGTCAGCGCCGGTCAAGCTGCCATCTCCACCGCATACAGCCAGCGCGTCTATGCCACACGAGATGAGATTGCGCGCTGCCCTCTCTCTGCCTGGTCTTTCTCTGAATGCTGCGCAACGAGCCGTACCGATCAGCGTGCCGCCCTGCGAGTGCATATTGGCAAATCGTGTGAGTTTGGCTTGCTTGCTTGCTACAAGCTACACGATGGCTTTGTTTTTTCGCGCGCGCCCACTCACCTGATCCATCCATCCCCTCACGTCATCCCAGCCCACTCTGACGATGTATTGTCCTTTCAAACCGATTTCTTCCGCTTCTCCCACTCCTTCCCTGAGCAGCTCACCCTGGCCAAAGGTGGACACAAAGCCGCTCTTGACGGAGGATGATTCGGGGGGCAAGGAGTTGCCAGCAGCAGTAGCGGCCGTAGCCGACGCATCCTTGGCTCCTCCAGATGTCGACTTGTCGGTAGCAGAAGAGGAAGCTTCCTGACGAGCGGCATGAGGATTATGGGCGTCTCTAAATGCGTCCACTGTGCGCTTGGATGTGTCTAGCGATCCATTAGGAGTGACAGCATTGGACGACGCATCGTCGTTGCCCCTCACTAGACCTTCCCAACCTTCCCTTATCACCCAAGCTTCGCATCCACGATAGATGGCCATCTTGGCTACTGCCCGAACCGCCGCATTCATACCCGCGCTATCCCCTCCAGAGGTCATCACCGCGATCTTCATGGGCGCAGAGCGCAGCGCTTGGGCATCCTGAGAATTGAAAGCCATGCTGTGTGCGTATGCATGTGGATGGAGCGGGTGTAGCTGCCGAAGTGGTCTACTCGCACTTGCTGTATGAGAGGGCCCAATCAGGATGTGGCAGCAGGACTTGGCGCGCTTCTCTGCAACGCTTCTTGTCGTTGCCCTCTCTGATCCCGCTGCACCCCCTTGCTGAATGTGGGCCTTTCTCTTTCCGGCTTTCCACCGCCCTTTCTCTCCGTGTCAAGAAGCAAGCTGAGGTGATGGGCTACACAGCTTCGGAAAGGGGTGGAGAGAGGTGCAAGGTTTAGGGACGAGTGACGAGTCGTTACTCGTGAGAGCAGAAAGTCATGCGCCTCGGACTGACAGGTTGAATTGTGATTGTATGCGTGGCTGCAGTTCAGCTGGAGCCTGATGAGTGGTGTTGCTGCTCATGCAAGGTGTTCGGACCGACCTGCACATACACACCGCCACGCGCAAGCGCGCGAGGAAAAAGTCGAGGGCTACAGCGATAACAGAAAAGCAGCGGCAGCGGCGGCAGC